AATGGGGCATGACTCGTACTGGGGCATTGCTCCGACAGCATTGTTGTATACCACCCAGAGATAACACTAAGTGGCCACTTATAGCACAGGCGAGTAGTCTAGGCTCGTACGGGAAGGAACCTAAGGTGGGTATTTTGATATTTTCTTAAAATTTTTTTTTTAAATAATTGCACATTGTAGATCTTAGATGAAATGGTACAAGATTATAAACATATACAAACTAGCTTTCGCCCGCGACTTCGTATGGAATTGTAATAAAATAAAAGTAAGAATCCTATGTGTTCCAGACTATCCTCTACATCTATACCAAATTTCATATAGATCGGTTTAGCAGGTTACAAACATCCATCCATCCATCCAAACTTTAGTATTTACAATATTAGTGATATAACTTAGATTTGTTAAGGCATTTTCTAAGAAAGAAGGGGATTAGACAAGTGGATTTAAAAGGGGAGATATCTTTTTGTAGTAAAAGGAATCAAAATAGCGAATTAAGTGCCCTTTAACTCATAATTCCATAGTGTTCAGTGTGACGAACATAAAATTAAAAAACCTATTGAAATAATTTAGAGAAAACTACGCGAGTATTTGATTTTAGTGTGTTGGTAACATATATTTTTATTGCTACAAAAAAAACTACGTCAAATTAAGGGTAAATGGACAGAGGAAGAGCAAAGAGTATTTCCCCTCTTTATATCCCATCCCCTGCTAAATCCACTATCCACTATATACTTGGATATTTAATTTACTTATTTACTAAGATTATTGCAACTTGATGTTTTTTTTTAAAAAAAAGTGGTTCATTTTTTATTTTTTTATGTTTTTTTTTTCTATTTTTTTTTGAATAGTTATGGCTGACAGGAGATTTCTTGCATCACTTTACAAAGATCAAAGATCAGCCACAAATGATGACTGCGGCTGCGGAATTGAAGCTGATATATCCATCCTTACGTAAGTTATTTTTTATATATAGAAATATAATCTAATGTTATTTTTTTTAAAAAACCCGACTGACGGAATGTTATACTTCATACTAATAAAATGGAAAACTTTAGATGGATGTTTGTTAGTTTGTAGCCTAAACTGCTGAATAGATCTGGATGAAATTTGTCATAAATGTGGAAAATAGCCTAGAACACATAGGCTTTTGTGTTTTTTTTTAATTTCACGGGCACGGAGTCGCGGGCAAAAACTCGAAATTAATAAATTAAAAAAACAATCAGGGGAAAAATTAGAAATGCCAAAAAAACTATGATGAGTGAGAGTCAAATCTATTTTTTCACAATTTTTTTTTAAATTTCACTTTTTAAATTACATGACATTCATTAATTTCTTCCTTACATTAGTAATCCAAATACACATGACGGTATATGTGTTTGGATTACTAATGTAAGGATTTTTTTCTTAATTTCCAATCTCACGTTAACTATAGGTGTTTTAAGCCAATCTAATATTCTCTATAATATTAGTATGTATATGTAGAAAAAGACGAATCAAATGACATCTCATTCTTCTAAATCGGTTCAGTAATTTATTCTGTAGAGTGTTACAATGGAATTTAAAAAAAATCTTACATACGCGCGAAAAAACCTTTGTCAGTCGGGTAAAAAGTAAACGCAATTAGTCATTGTCTAAAGTACACTCGGGGAAATTGTCGGTGTTCCACTTTAAAGCTACAATCGTTTAAACATGAAACGAGACGCGAAAGAAAAACACAACGCTTATAAATCTGTACGAAAAAAAGTAGACGGTTAGTTTTTTTGACCGACTTTCCAAAAGAAGGAGGTACTCAATTCGTCTTTGTGTTTTTTTTATGTGTTACGGCATAACTCCGCCGCTAGTGGACCGATTTTGATCATTCTTTTTTTATCCGAAAGGTAATGCTTGCAGGTGGGTCCCATTTTTTTGGTTGATTTTTGGTGTCAAAGACTGCGACGTAGTTAAATAGTTTAGCTCAAAATCGCGCGACGAAATTTAGGGTCATTTTTGCTTTCTTTGCTTACGTAGCCTTAACTATAAGACTTATTTATTGTCTTAATATTTCACGCATACGGAATATTACAACACAATCAGATAAATGTGATTAAAAAATAATCATACTAATTTTATAAATGCGAAAGTTTAGATGTATCGATGTTTAGAATTTGTAGCCTAAACGGTTGAACGGATCTCGATGAAATTTGGTATGGATGTAGAAGATAGTCTGGAAGAACACATAGGCTTTAACTTTTAATTTTATAAACTCCACGCGGACGGAGTCGCGGGCGAAAGCTAGTTAAAAAATAATAGTAAGGGTGAATTTCTTTTTACTAACTCTTTGTTTGCCCTTACTGTTATCTTATTATTTGTAAGAAGCAAAGTTTGTCTCGTTGCAATGAACAAGGGATTTTTTTCCAAAGTGCGACACCGCAAATTCCCGCGACTGTACTTCAGTTGACTGGGTATTTAACTGCCATATTGTTATTAGAGAACGTGAGACAGTCTCACGATGATTTACTGGGCGGTGGTTGTCTGCCCTACGCTGCAGCAGTTCACGCTAAACAACCCTGGCTAAATGATTATTTATAGTAAGTTATACTTTACTAAATACAAATCCTTAATTCATTACTCAACACAACATACAGCAATTTTTGTTCTTAAAATATTCTGATACTTGCTTA